CCATGACATCTCTCAATCCCCTCCGGGCAAGAGATCGCAATCATAAACGGGCTGCTTTTTAACAGCTTACCTATAAAAAGCCATCAGCACCAACCCTACCAATCAGGCTATTTCATATGTTTATCAATTGTACATTTATAAAGAATTGTATGCATGTGTGTATGTGTGTAGCTTGCAACTATACATGGTACTTCTCTGGTGCTGGGGTACCTCTTCCGTATTGCCAATACCATAAGATGGCACTGATCTTTTTTAAAAAACTACAGGGAGGAAGGTCTTGATTCAGGAGTTAAGTGGAGATAAGAAACAGAAAATTCAGTGGAGATAACAGAGAGAGATAACTGGAATTCTGAGGAAAATCATCTTTCTGGATTGGGACATTTAGGTGATGAGATCCTACAAAAATGTGGGCTGAAATTTGACTCCTGCTTTGAAAGCAGCTCAGGCTCAATCAAGAGGGAAAAGGTGGCTGGAGCAAACGGTGTGCAGGGGGCAGAGGGCAAAGGGCAGAGGTGTGTCAAGGCAATCCTGAAGGCCAACCTTGGACCTTATTGTGTGGGGACAGATGAGTGCTGGAGGAGTTGAGGTGTCAGAGGACCCAGCAGTTGTGGTGCAGGAATGGATTGGGAACGCAGATGAGAACAAGGAGACCTGATGGAGATCACTAAAATGACAAAGGAATGACTGCGAGAAACCTTGGGAAGAAAGGCTGTAGGGACCGGAAGAGATCTGACTCCTGCAGGGAGGCTTGTGAACACAACAAAAAAGTAACCAACCCCACAGCTTTTTGTGACACTTACAGATACTGCAAGGAAATTTAAAGAAATCTACAAAGCCAGCAGATTTTGTTGTTGTTGTTGTTGTTGTTCACCTGTTCATTTTAGAAAATTCAGAAAGCACAGAAAAGCATCAGTATAAAAATGATCTATGACCCACCAGATAATTTTTAGTAATATTTGGTTTTATATGGCATTTCTTGAGGGAATGGGCATCACACAGTATAAAACTTTAAATTTGCTCTTTTCATTTCATGTATAGCACTGAGGATTAACCCCTCAGTTAAAATGTGGCCAGAAGCTGGAAGAGACAAGATCGGATCCTCCCACACAGCATTCGAAGGGAACGTTCACGCTAAGATCTCTGGCCTCCAGAACAGTGACAGAATACACTTCTGTTGCTTTAAGCCACCAAAATACTTCTTCTCCCCACCCCAACACTGATCACTTTTGTCCTCAGAACAGAATATGAACCCCCCCCCAAATATATAAAAGCATCTCCAAAAGGGACCCCTACTCTACCCAAACTATCCAATAAACAAACACCCCTGGGAACAAAGCACATGAGAGCCTATGGGTTTATCGAGGAAATTGTAAAACCCCTACTGGAAAAATAACAAAAGTGCATGCCCTATTGGCACTGATTTTACGACATCAATGTACTATGAAGTCACCACAGTTTCACCCAAAACGCTGCCACCAAACCCCACTCTATGACTGCAGCACAGGATTACTGTATTAGATTTGAACTGGAGTAACACAGGCCCCAGACTTGGTTCAAGTGCACAAAACCATTCTGTACTTTCCCCAAGGCATAAGGGAGAATAATCTTAAGGCTCAGTGAAAACCTGAGGCTGTCACGTCAAACGGACATGGCACCCTTCCCTCTGTGTCAGTTGGAAGAAACAATTTTCTTCATGACTCCAATATTTTGGGTACTGTTAACACCAGCACCTCAACATAAGAAAACTCCTTTTCAAAGTCATGTGTCAACAGCCAAAGGTGGTTTCTTAAGACGATACTGCCTAGTACACAAAATCAGAAGCAAATTCTGAGAATTAGCTTAATTGTAAAATGACGTAGGAAATAATCTACTGCCCTGTACACTAGCCTTAGAAGTCTCAGGCTCCAGCCAGATTTCAACAACTTGTTTTCCTTTATGTGAACAACTTGCACAGGAACATTTCATAACATGTAGCGTACTAGAAGTCGGAACGCCAGATATACTATCTCTTACATGGTTGATTAGCCAAATATTTGTTTTTTCCTCAAAGTTTCAAGTATTATCCAATGCAGAAGTCTATGTCCTGCCCAAGTTCTCAAAAACTCCCAACCCTGAAAAGCTGCAAAAATCCTCAATCCTAGACTGTTTAATCTTTACAGTTGGAACCAAGGAAGTGTTTCTGCATCAATTATTTCACAGCAAGCTTTAAGAGCTCTCCAGAAGGAATAAAATGTCCAGGAAGATAAAAGGACCTCATTTTAAAAAAGAGAGAGAAAGAAAAACAGAAAGAAAGAACACCCTTGGATTCTATAATGTGGCAGAGAAAACCTAAACTACCCTGATGATCTGTATGAAATAAACTATTTTCTCTCAGTGATGATTGGAACCCTCTCTCCCCCATCAGTTCAGCCACCGCCATAAACTACAACAAAACACGCTTTTCCTCTCTTGTCATCATGTGCATATATGTTCTGTTTGTACGTGCCATTTACTGGAGTCCTCCTCAGCCAAGACTTTTAAATGTGTTTAAGGACAAACTGCTGGTCTCTGGGTGGCCAGGGAAAGGATCCAGTGTGCTGGTTTTGCAGAAGGCTGAGCACATTAATGGGACTCACTAAAAACCATTATTTATTTGACTTGTGGCTCTCAGGGTTAGACAAAAGAGGTTAGGAGTTTTTTGAAATCAAAACACAAACCCAAAACAGGGAATCAGGGCAAAATTACCTGGGTGTTCAGATCAACTTACTTTCCCTGGATTTCTCACATTGTAAACACTGTCTGTCTTCAGGGTGCATACGCTTGCACGCTTGCACGCTTCACCTCTCGTACGACTGGGGTTCTGGAATCTTCCTGTCTTATTTCTCAAGTAACACTAACTTGCTAAAACTACTGACACCTCCAAGAGTCAGATGCCATTCCCACCTGAAAAGAAAACAGGGCTACAGGGCAGGGAAGAGGCGATGCCTGTACTGGGACGGCCTGTGGCTCCATCTGGACCCAAAACCAGCACACTGGATCCTTTCCCTGGCCACCCAGAGACCAGCAGTTTGTCCTCAAACACATTTAAAAGTCTTGGCTGAGGAGGACTCCAGCCTCCCGTGGGAAGGCGAACAGTAACAGTGACCAGTGGCCAGGGCACACGACCCCTCAGTACCGCCAGCAGGTAGGCAGAGAAAGGTCAGGCAGAAAAACGTGACTTTTCTCTATTTAATTTTGTCAAGTTAAGTCAGTTATTATGGTTTGGGGACACTCAAACCTCTTGACCACCTACCAAAAGAAAAAAAAGAAATCACTGGTGTGCCTGATTAACTTTTTCTGGTTACAAGTGTTCTTAATCAGGTGAACAGAGAAAGAAGGTTCCATACAATGTACGCTCATCCTCAAAAGCAAACAAACCACCAACCTCATCGGAACAGAAAGGTTTCTGGAGCAATTATTACCTCCATGGGCTAGGATGAATTAAACGTAGCAGTTCTTTAAAAAGGCACACTTGTCATTGTTTTTTGCATTGTGTTTCAATGGTAGGGAAAATAAGTATCAAAGCAGCAGGTAGGGTTTAAAGGGAAAATATGGAACTTGAAATTTGAATCTTCATCTCTTTGAAAAAGAAAATGTCCATACTGTTTCTTTGCTTGTGGTTAAAAACAAGAATGAAAACACTTCTCAAAGTAACAGTCTATAACCCAACAGGCAGTTTCCCGAGGTGGTTTGCTGCAACTCACCTGAGACACACTACCACACCACGGTGTTCAGAGTGAAGCCTTGACTTAGTTTGCCCGGTCTTCGGTCTCTCCTCTATCTCCCCCATTTAAATAGTTCCCATTCTACAAGTGGACACTGTGCAGACGGCTTGTATGTATTTACTAAATCCTCCCCAATGTTCGGTTTCACTACCAGCATTTTAGTTTGCACATAACACAGTATTTCGGTAACAATCTGAACATCCTAACGGCTTTAGAATCAGTTTACCCTTCTGCTAACCTTGTATGTCCGGATGCAACACCTGAGTGAGTGCTTTATAGGTCCTATCTAGATGCACGCTTCCTTTCCTCTACACAACTCGCAAGTTCCTCTTAGAATGTTTAAGAACTCAAGTAGGTGGGATCTTAAAAAAAGTAAGTGAAGTAAATATTATTCCTTGGACTCCAGGTAAGGTACCTGCGGGAACAGAACCATTGGAGAGGATGCCACAAATATTTTAAAGACAAAATTCTGAAGCGTGTGTTCAAAGTTCTCCCCCACCCTTGCAGAATTTTGCTTCCATCCAAGGAACGCTGCGCAACCGCAACGTTTTCAGCGTTATTTGGGACCCACCAATGGAATTTGCGCTCGGAAGTCAAAGTCCTTCTAAAACAGCCCCGATGACCACTTGGTAAGTGGTCAAGTTTTAACTTTTTTTTTTTTTCCTTTCTTCTGTTCCTCACGACCGCATCGCTCTCAATTTACAAAACCTAATCACCCAGGTTCGGGGTCTTTGACTCATCAGAGAAGAATGCTGCTCAGGAGTTATCTATTAATCCGAAATGCCGCGGCTGGAAGGACATTTCACCAAGAACTTCCACCGCCGAAGGGGCGGGGGCAGGGAACAGAAGGTATCTTTTAAGACCAACTTCCCCCGAGTTCTTCCTGAAACCGCGCACACAAACACACCCCACCGCTCACAGCGCCAGACGCAGAAGTTCGGGCCCCCATAATCTGAGGTCACCCAGGAGTCACCTCTCGATTCCGCTTTTAAAATCTCGGGCAAACAAAGCTGACCATTATGCTTACAAGTCTCTGAAAAGTCCTCAAAGTTACGCAACTTTAGGCACGCACCCACAAAAACACCCTCTTCGAGGTTACACCCTCCCGGGGCCACCGTGTGGGGCCACCCCCGACCCCCGGGCTGCGGCGCCCGGGGACCCGCGGCCCCGCCAGCCTCTCCGCCCGCACTTCGGAGAAACGCAGCGCGCGGCCAGCGTCCCGGGTCGCGCCCGCCACCGCACCGCGCCGCTCCGTACCTCTTCCTCCTGAAGGTTGGCCTCGTTCGGGGTGTTCTCCTTCTCGGCTTTGACGCCGTTGTTCATCTTCCCGGTCCTCCCTCGCCGGGCAGGGCTGGGGCGCGGGGCTGGGCGAGGGCGAGCTCGCCCACTCTTCCCTTCCCCGGGCGCGGCGGGCTGGAGCCGGGCAGCGGCGGCTCGGGGTCCCGGGCGCGGCGCGACCGCGGCGGCAGGCGACTCAGGAAGTGCGAGGGAGACTCCGGGCAGGGCGAGGCGCCGGCTGCCTGGGGAGGGGACCGAGACAGTCGGGACCCGGGCGGGAGACCTGGAGAGTGAGGGCGGGCGCGGGGGCAGGAAGGAAGAAAGGATGGGGCGAGGACGCGCGTCCCGGGAGTGACCCCGGAGAGTTGGGGATGTGGTCGAGAAGGGGCTGGGGGCTGCAGCAGCTCGAGGGCCCCGCAGCTACTGGAGGGAGGGGGCGAGAGGCGCCCAGAGTGGAGGGGGAGGAAGAGGAGGAGGAGGCGGTGAGCGGCAGCGGGCCGGGGCTGGGACGCTGGGACCCGAGCAGAGGAGTGCGCGCTCCAGGAAGGCTCTGGGAAGTCCAGGATCCGAGCAGCTCGCTTTCTCTCGCCTCCCTCCCTCCCCTTTCTCCTCCCTCCTCCCCTCCCTCCCCTCCTCCTCCCTCCGCCCTCCTTGGACGGGGCAGCGGGCTGTCGCCGGGAGGGACCGGACGAGGACGGCGAAGCCCCCGGCCAAAGGAGGGGCTGCGCCGAGGGCGGCTGCCGGGCGGCCCGAAGGCGTGCGCCGGGGAGGGGCCGCGGGCCGCGGGGGATACGGCCGGCCCCCAGCCCGCGGCTTCGCGGTAGGTCGGAGAGTTAGGGCGCGGGGCGGGCGCGAGGGAGGGCCGGGTCCTCCCGGTAACCTCAGGGTTAGTCCGGCCCCGGGCGCCCCGGCGGCGGTGCGGGGCCCGAGTTGGCGACCTGGTGTGGCGGTGCGCGCGAGGTTGGTGCGGGGCTTCGGAGAGCCAGGCCCTGCCTTATGGGACCACCGCGAAGTGTGATGTGCTACTTTGGTTCGCTGGCGTCTCCCAGGGGTTTGCACTCCTTCGCGTCAGCCTAAGCCCAGCCCTCGTATTCAGTACCGGGTTAGCCCATGTCTCCCCTTCCTAGTTGGCGGCTGCGAGGACGGGATGCGAGAACTCGAGTGACCTTCGGGGGCGGCCCGCATCTTGAGGCGCGGCCTCAAGCCCACCTCCCACGCCGGGCCCTCAGACACCGCCGCAGCCTCCCCGCATCCGCCGCCTCGCTCCCCCCTAGGCCCCCGCGATTCCTGCTCAGATCCCTCTCCCAGCTCTTATCAAACTGTTCTGGAATTATCTCTTCACCTGTCTGTCTTTCTGGCTCTTTTGCGAGATCCTCCCTGGAAGACAATGCCCTTGCCCAGGTTATCCTTTTTTAATCCACAGCTTTTAAATTACACTACCTGCTGTACGGTGTTAGGGAACTGGGGGCCGCACCGATGACCTCCAGAGGTCAAAGCAGATTAAGGAAAGGGGCTCCGCCTTCCGGGAGGTCAGAGCCCGAGGCTCGTTCTGCGCAGACCTCTGGAGGACCGCGTGCTTTCCTCTTCTCACCTGTGAAATGGGCGCAGCCCCGTTTATCTCCCCGGAGTCAGCTGTTGGAGGAGATTATAGGTTGCTAGAGCGCAGCACCTGGCGCCCTTTCTTGCTCCGCTTAAGTCTACAATGCACGGAAGGTCACCTTATCATTGAGGAAACTTCCATTTCGTCCTGGATCATAGAGAGAGCTTTTCCAAGACTGTATCTTTTAAGTTTGTTTAGACGTGGGTGCTACGGACACAAAAGTTTAAAACTCCAGGCTTCAGCACGTTGTGCCTCCCTTCCCACTCCCAGGGATTCCCTCTCCCCGCGTGCTGCTCCTTCCTAGCCACGATCACCGTTGCTAATTGCTTGTAGCCTCGCTGCGCTGTTTCTCTCTCCCCCCTCCCCCGCCCCAGGGACATTCTTTACGGACCGGTGTACGGACCCGTGTACGTGTTGCTGGGAATGGGGCGAGCCCGGCGGTGGGAACTGAAGATAAGGCTTCCGCGTTGGGGGGGTTGGAAGTGCTGTTGTGGCGACAAGATGACCCAAAACAACTGCACGGCAACACGCTCGCAGGCCCTGGTGCAAATTGCGGAGAGCAAAATACCTGCTCTGAGAGCGTTTGAGGAGATAAAACCGTCCTGATCTTCGGATTTCCATACTGGCTTTCTTCTTGGTGGTGAGGGGAGTCTGAAGATTTTGGTGAAGACAGAACTGCTGTCATGATGTCATTTCTCTCTGTGGGAAGAGCAAGGTGTGTCCTGGGTGAAAATAAACGCAGACTATTCCAACACAACGGAGGTGCAGAGGAGGCAAGGGTCGCAATTGATCTGGAAACTTGGACAGCCCTTTCCACCTCCAGTTCCTCCCTCACTGGGTTCCAGGAGGAGCCACGAGGGGGCGATGTCTCCCCGAGCTCTGGCTGCGCGGTGGTCCTGGGCCCCTGGGCCGACCCGTGAATGCCAGCACTTCCCTCTCCTTGGCCTTTCTGGCTTTTTACTGAACGTTCTCCACAGAAAGGCATTGTCTTGCTGGAGCCTGGCGAAGGCCCAAGGAAAATGACAGTTGATTTAGTCACTGGTGGTTCCAGTCAGACCCCGTTTACGAAGGAGGTGAAAGATGTGCGATTCCCGGCTGCGGGGAGAACCTCCCCGGACCCCACCCAAGGGAACCCCACCCAAGGAAAAGGTGGCTTCCGTCCAAACTAGAACCTGATTCCTTTGTCTTGGAGCCGAGCCAGCACTTTGTCCACTGTTAAAAGTCAAAAATCCCTGCGATAAAAAACAAGAAGTTGCAAGAGAGGACCCATGTTGGGCTGGTTCATTGTTGCGTGCCCAATACCCACACAGTGCCTAACGCGTAGTAGGCTCTCCATTATTTTTGAATGAATGAACACATTGTCTTATCACTTTTGATTCTCAGGCTTGAGTGACATTAGGTCCTTCCACGGTGGGGCAGGGGCGTCTGAGTTCGTGGGCGGGTCTCCGCGTGGAGAGACTGTGCGGAGCAGGACACCTGGCAGATTCGTGGCGGGGGTCTTCACTGTTGTGCAGAGGGGAAACCCCAGGTAGAGAGCTTGTGCACGACGGGACACCTGATGAGATTTCAGGAAATAAAAGTGAGATCGCACCGCTCAGCCAGTCAGCTGACGCATGCGGCAGCTGACAACAGAGCCGAGAGACCTGGAGTATACAGTCAAGGGTGACCCTGAGGGTCAGGGAAGCTTGTGGGGATGACGTAACACACCTGCGGACGGGGGGCTCCTCGTTGGTCCTTTGCGTTAAGAATAGTTCAGACGTGTTTGGAAGAGCAATCGATGGGTGTTGTCAGCAGAACTCAATAAAAATCTGTGAGTCTGGCTATTTATCAGACCTTGCAAACGTGGGGCGTTTGGCTGTGTGTGAGGTGGTGGGGATGGGGGAACCCTTCTGACCTGTTTTGTTCCAAAAGGGTATCTCCTAAGTAGCAATAGTTTCCAGACACACCAGGAGTTACAAGACAACAAAGGGACTTTATATCCTAGAAAAACAGAGCCAATGACCAAGAAACATCTGCTCTCCGTTCTGCCCGCCACCCTACTGCGTTGCTCCTGGCCCCCCCACCCCCAGGTCACAAGGTGCGGGATCGCCAGGGGAACGTGGTGTGCACCTGTAGTTTCTCTTACTCATCTCTGCTTCTCTGGCACTGTGGCTTTGGAGGCATGCTTTAAGAAAGCGAAACCTATAATTATGATGTAAGTGTTTCTCTCTGGGAATCTCAGGCATAAAGGTCTGCTTTGGGGCATGGGCTTTGCCTCCGTGTTAGCATGACAGCAGAAAGCTGCAGTGTCTACCACATGTGTTGTGACGGTTTACTCTTCTGCAGGACCTGAAAAAGTTCTCGGGGGACTGAGTCTGTTTTGTTGGGTGTCGTCATCCATGATAGTTCTTCCTTCCTCGCCCTGCACCCACCCACCCACCCACCCACCTCCAGGCCATCACCATCTTCCCTTGATGTATTTATTGCTTTCTAATTGTGGCTAAAAAAAACCCCACACAACATAGTGTTTACCATTTGAGCCATTTTTTAAGTGTACAGTTCAGTGGGATGAAGTACATTCACATGGTTGTGCAACATCCTCCTGATCTTGACCTCCTAAATAGTTCCGAGATTCGATCACTTCCCTCCAGTTACTTGCGGAAGCCCACGCAGCCATGTGGAGAGGCCCACATGGAGGAGAATGACAGCCCAGCTGAGCTCTCAGGGGACAGCCAGCACCAATTGCAGATCTTGTCAGTGAGTTGTCTTGGAAGTGGATAACCCAGCCCCAGTGTAGTTGCCCCACCTGATGCTGCCTGTGGGAGGGATGAGCTGCCTTCTCTGAGTCGTGCCCAAGTTGCAAAACCGTTAGCACAACACTAAGTGCTGTTATGTTCAATCACTAAATTCTGTGGCAGTTTGTGATGCAGCAGTAGGAGGTAACTGACATGTAATTGCATGCCCAAACGTGAGGTCCGGCTGTCACAGAAACCTAAAGCAGGTGGCAGTGGCTTTGGGAGCAGGTGGAGGAGAGAAGCTGGAAGAACTTTGAGTCTGCTAGTGAAGCGCACTATTAACGGACAGTGAGACTGTTCTTATTCCAGGCTGGAGAAAGGGGAACCACGCTTATGTATGGGAAGAACAATTAGCTAAATTAGCCTTTGTTACCTGGAAGATAGAAAAGATACCTAGTGAGCATGTGGATCTGGCTCCAGAGATATTTGGATAGGCTGTTGAAGGGTTGAATGGTTTCTTTTAGGTACTTACGGTGTAGCACAAGAGAAGTGAGATGAGCTAAAAAAAAAAAAGGAATTTTTCCATCATGAATATAATTTACAGCAAACACAAAGAATCCAGGATCCCTGGATTTGAAATAAATCTATTTGTCTTTTCTAGCTTCTCCAGGGGACAAAACTCTCAAAACAAGAAATGGCCTAATGGCAAGGGTCAAATCCAAGGTGGTATCAAGGAAATGTGACATTGCCCTGGCCAGGGTGGCTCCGTTGGTTGCAGCGCTGTCCCCTACACCAAAGGCTGGGGGTTGGATTCCTGGTCAGGGTGCACACCTGGGTTGTGGGTTTGATCCCAGTCCGGGGCACCTATGAAAGGCAACCAATCAATATTTCTCTCTCACATCGATGTTTCTCTGTCTCTCCCTTCCTTTTTCTCTAAAATCAATAAACATATTTAAAAATATGGCCTTAGGGAAGTTCAAGACAGGGTGTAGTTAGAAGACCTTGTGGTAGGCAGCCTCTGTGATGATCCCTACCTCCCAGTACTCAGGCCCTTGTATAATTGCCTCTCCTGAGTGTGAGCTGGAACTAATGGCTTGCTTTTTTTGTTTTTGTTTTTTTTTCTTAGATCCTCACCTGAAGATGTGTTTATTGATTTGAGAGAGAGAGGAAGGGGGTGAGAGAGAAACATCAATCAGTTGCTGTGTACCCACCCCAACCAGGGACCCAACCCACAAACTTTTGGTGTACAGGACAGTGCTCCAACCCACTGAGCCACCCGGGCAGCGCACGCAGGTTAGATTACAAAGAGAACATGGTCCCCATCCCACATACCCTCTCTTGCTCTCTCACGGGCTCCCTAGATGGAAGCCCCGCTAGTATGACGTGAGCTGCCCTATGCAGAGGCCCGTGTGGCAAGGGACAGTGGAGGCTTCCATTCAAGAGCCAGAAACCAACTGGGGCCTTTAGTCCACCAGCCCACAAGGAACCAAGTCCAGCCAACAACCCCGTGAGTAAGCTTGGAGGTGGGGCGTCCCTCGATGAGGCCTGTTAGATGAGACCTGTTACACACTGAATGTTTGAATCTCCCCCAAAAGTCGTATAATGAAGCCACGACCCCCAAGGTGATGGCATTAGGGTCTTTGCAAAGTAATCAGGTTTAAATGTGGTCTTGAGTGTAGGGTCCCATGACGATACTAGTGCCCTCACAAGAAGAGAAGGAGACCCCAACGCCCGTGCCCTCTCTGCCACGTGAGGGCACTACGAGAGGGTGGGCATCTGCAAGCCAGGAAGACAGCACTCGCCCTGAACTAAGTTGGCTGGCACGTTGATCTTGGACTTCCCAGCCTCCAGGACTGTGATACATGTCTGTCGTTTAAGCTGCCTGCCCGACGCTGTTTTGTTATGGTGGCCTGAGCTGACTAAAGCAGGACCATGGGCCAGCTGACAACTTCGTCACGGACTTGGAGAGACCTTGGGGCAGAAGGACCCAGCTAAGCAGACAGAGCCCTGGAACCCTAACCCACAGAACACTGTGAAATAACAGCGGGTTGTTGTTTAAAGCCATTAAGTTTTGGGGTAACTTATACAGCAGTAGGTAAGTTGATAACTCAGAAAGGTTTAAGGTAGTACCTAATAGATCCTTTCAACTAGAAAGCAGGGCTTCTAAGAATTGAAATGGTGTTGCCCACAACAGTCGTTGGCCCAATGTAGAGAAAGGCCTGTCTTTAAAAAAAAAAAATGTATGATTATAACTTGAAGTGTAAGAAACCTATGGTTATTTAAGGATCTTCCCTAGCTTGCACTGAAATAGAGACTGTTCATAATGAATTGGAGGCATCTGGACCCTCAACTTCACAGGCAGGAAGCAGGCTGAGGAAGCTACTCATTTGCAGTTCTGGACTGTTTCCAGAAGCGAAGATGCGACAAGAGGGAGCAGAGAGCCACTGGGGATTGTTCCCAAGGAGCAGGCGTAGGGCGAGTTACGGAATTGGTAGCATTTGAAGAGCTGGATTTCAGAATTGCTATGTATCACTTCCCTCTGCCCTCCCATTCTCTCCTCTCTTTGAATGGGAGTGTGTATCTGTTAGAGAGTTCCTGCCCTTGCCTTCCCATTAGCTATTGGGTGTGTGAGAAACAGACACTTTGTCTCTTCGCTTCACTGATCTTCAGATCAAAGGGAAACTTCTGAGGAGCCACAGTGAAGGAACCACATCCAAGGAGCCACATTTGCACTTGGATCTGACTTAGATGCCAATATCCTAGGCCAGGGGTTGGTGAACTTTGTAGTGTCAGATAGTAAATAATCTAAGCTTTGCAGTCACATGTGTGATCTGTTGCATCTTTTTTTTTTTTAAAACAACCCTGTGAAAATATAAAAACCAGTCTTATCTCAGGGGCTGTACAAAAATAGTCCATGGGTTGGGATTTGGACCTCCAGCTGCGGTTCGCTCACCCCCGTTCTAGACCCTTAAATGGTGTATAATGGGATGAACTACTCTGATATCCTTAGAGGAGAAAATAGTGTATGTTTCAGATGGGAGGGAAATGTATTGCTGTGGCCGTGGGCTGGAGGGTAGCAACTATTCTTCAAACACGGCCTCAGATCACTTCACCTCCTCGTGCGTTCATGCCACTCTTGCCACCCAGAGCTGGAGCTTGTGCGGCCTCCCCTTGAATCTGAGCTGAGCCTGTTTCTGCTTTGACCCATACAGTCTGGAGGAAATGGCATTCTAGGGATTCTGAGCCCAGGCATTAAAAAATTCTGGCAACTTCTGTTTCTTCTCTCTTGGAAGCCAGCTTTCATGCAATGACAGAGCTCAGACAGTCACCTGGAGAGGCCCACATGAGGGAAATTCAAGCCCCAGCCCTCCCACCCCACTCCCACAGCCTCATTGCCCGCCACAGCCCGCGCCCGCAGCCCACCTGCGAGGGAGCCATCCTGATGCAGACCCCCCACAAGGAGCCACGCCAGATGACACCGCATGGAGCAGAGACAAGCCCTCTTCTCTGAGCACTGCCCAGACTGTAAATACACTTGTAAGCAAATAAATGGTTATTGTTTTCGGCCACTAGCGTTTGGAGTGGTTACTTCTGTAGCGATATAGAATGAAAACGCTGGAGAAGGGAACAATGTAAGCAAGGCGCAGAAACCAGGAAGCACAGCGGTGAGCAAGCGTAGTAACTTTTGACACCATAGTTACAGCTATAAAGTAACAAAATCACAAGTGCCGTTTCTGGCATATACTTTCCTTCTAAAAGACAGTAAAGGAGAATTGAAAAATGTGTGTGGTCCCTTCAGAACCTGAATAAGAATTGCTGACTACGTGACGGTAAGTAGAAAACAACACGGCCAGACCGAGGTGTGGCTGGGACGCAGAGGGCAAGGCACGCTTGTGATAAAGTGGCTTTTCCTACCACCAATCTTATAATAATAGGTGATTTGAGTTGGTGCTGTAGGAAACCAATACATTGGTAAATACCTTTTAAAGAGTCACTTATAAGCAAAGGTCAAATGCTAAATTCAGAAAGTTTAAATGTCTCCTGTACTCTAACTTGTCTAAAATGTAATGAACCTATAAGTGAGTGTTAGGAGGTAAGGCTGAAGAATCAGTTCATTTAGTCATTATTAAGAACTGCTCTTTAGAAAGCAATCCTCAGTGGCTAGTAAGCTCAATTCGAGGGAAGCCAGACAGTAGATGGGAAATGATGACATTGAATGGCCGGGGGGACAAGCAATGAAAAACGGACAACACATGATTGATTGTAGGGGCTAAGGGAAAAATAAGGCATTTGACTTAACAGCCAGGTTTGAAGGCTTCAAGAATTTGGTGACGTGAACTCCAGAAAGAAAAGAAAAAAGGAAGACACACACACACACACACACACACACACACACACACACACACACAGATATCCAGAGAAGACCTGGTTGTGTGGAGAGATGAGTTAAGCATCAGGCATATGAAGTTTTGAATGCTAGGGTCACGCTGATTGACAGTTGGGAAATGAGTCTGTAGCCTGGAGATGGGAGGTAATACATATGTCCATATGCCATCTGAATTGAAATCCCAGGTGAGCTTAAGCAGTAACAAGGTGGGAGAAGAGAATCTTCAGAAATATCTGTGGTTAGACTGGACAAGGAGAAAGATTAGCTAGAAAGGAGACAAACTAAGCAATGAGATATAAGAGGAGAGGGCACACTAATAAAAATAATGCAGCTGCCCTGAACAGTGTGGCTCAGTTGGTTTGGTGTCATCCACAGACAAAAAGGTCACAGGTTTGATTCCCCATCAGGGCACATGCCTGGGTTGTGGGTTTGGTCCCCAGTCGGGGCATGTACGAGAGGCAACTGATCGATGTTTCTCTCTTGCATCAATATTTTTCTCCCCCCCTCTCTAAAAAATAAATAATTTTAAAAAATAATAATAGTAGTAGCAGCTAACAGCCCTGAATGGGGGACCTTGCCACAAACTCTACATGGTTGTCACATTTTACTATTTGAAGATGGCAGGTTAAATGTAAACAGTTCTATCTATTCTGTTCCAAAACCTCTAATAATAATAAAAAAAAAAAACAGAAAGGACTTGTTGCTGGTGTCATCATTCTAAGACATAAACTAATAAGGATCAACAGAATGAAAGAAAGCAGCTGCAGTGAAATTTAGGAAGCTGCAAAGTGTATGGCTAAACACCGAGAAAAGTGAATCCCCAGCCTGGTGGGAGACAACTGAGTAACAGCCTCACACCCAAGGATCCCTGAAGACTTGATTCGAGCCTAGGTAGCGGCTGGCAGCTCGGGAGGGCGCGTGGGAGGGGCTGTGGCCTGAGGGCTGATGGGAAGGGAAGTGCTTTGCGTCAGCTTCCTCCTTTCCCCCTCAGTTTACTGTTAAATTAACATTGAAAAACTCTCCCCTCTTTTTAGGAATACCCAATGGGAAAAATCCAGGGATGTTTTTTTATTTTTCCTCTATAAATGCTGCATTTACTCATAAGGATTTGAGTAAACTTTCTTTTTTTTTTTTAAAGATTTTATTTATTTATTTTTAGAGAGGGATGGGTGGGAGGGGGGAGAGAGAGACAGAGAGAGAGAGAGAGAGAGAGAAACATCAATGTGCAGTTGCTGGGGGTTATGGCCTGCAACCCAGGAATGTACCCTGGCTGGGAATCGAACCTGGGACACTTTGGTTCCCAGCCCGCGCTCAATCCACTGAGCTACGCCAGCCAGGAGGATTTGAGTAAACTTTCAATGAGCGAAAAAGGGGGGTTAAAAAAACCCAGCTTTCTCTTTGTGGACATTATATGTAGATGGTAATACAAATTAATATGTTTGTAATTTTATAAATGCAAGAGGGATCTTCTTCATCAGGGAAAGTTACAAAGAAAAGGTGTTAATACACACAACTCCCTTGTCTTTTTTCTTTTTATCTTTGACTCCTTTTACCCATTTCTCCTACCTTCCACTCTGCCTACCTAAGGCAACCACCAGCCTGTAATCTACATTTTTTTTTTAGATTCCGTATGTCAGAGATCATATGGTATTTGTCTTTTTCTGACTTGTTTCACTCAGCCTAATGCCCTCAAGTTCCATTGCTGTTGTCACAAGTGGCAAGATTTCATTCTTTTTTTGTGTCTGAATAATATTGCATATATATATATATACACACACAGTCTGTCCAGAAGGTATCCAGTCAAGTAATATGAAAAACAGAGACGTTTACTGAAAAAGATACAAGAAACATTGTACATAAGACAATGACAGTCTCTTTCAAAGTAGGCACCTTGGGACCTCACACAGTTCTAATTGCCCTCAGATGCCCCATTACATTGTCCTGAATCTCATCAATGGTCTGAAAACTCTTACTTTTCAAAGGTAATTATAGTTTTGGGAAATGCCAGAAGTCTCAGGGCACCAAATCTGGGCTATAGGGGGACAGAGTCACCTGGGCCATTTGATGTTTTGCAAAAAAACTGCTTGAGACATGATGTGTGAGCACTTATGTGGTCCTGATGAAGCTGCCAATCACCAGTTGCCCACAGCTGCAGCCTTCTGAATCATCCAAATAGTTTCCACAGAAGAATGTTCCAGTTTAATGCAATATCTGATGCAGATTCGTTTTTCTAGTCACTCAGTCATTTTGAATGTGACTGCCACACAGTACACATGCTCCCTCAACAGCGTCTACCACCCGCACTGAGCAGTACAGTGAGGTGGTCCTTGTTCATGAATGTGCCTTCCAGTCCACTCTCCTTGGCCTCATTATATTAGCAACGGCTGGACTTTTTCTGGACAGACAATGGGGGGGGTGTGTGTGTGCGTGTGTGTGCTCACGCACGCATGTACGTTTCTTTGTCCATTCACCCATTGATGGACACTTAGGTTATTTCCATGTCGGCTATCGTAAGTAAATAATGCTGCAATGAATATGGAGGTGCATATATCTTTTCAAGTCAGTGTTTTTAATTTGGATAAATTGCTGAATCATATGGTAGTTTCTATTTTTAACATTTTTAAGATTTTATTTATTTTAGAGAGGGGGAGGGAGAAAGAGAGGGAGAGAAACATTAATGTGTGGTTGCCTCTTGCGCACCCCCGACTGGGGACCTGGCCGACAACCCAGGCATGTGCCCTAACTGGGAATCGAACCAGTGACCCTTTGGTTCACAGACCGGCACTCAGTCCACTGAGCCACACCAGCCAGGTTGCAAATAATATTCTTTAATCCATGTCTTTACTTCACTACCTATTTTTCAAATGAGAGCAAGCATATGAATTTTGCTAGAATATTTATTGACTCTTAAAGACTAAACGGTGACGTAGTCTCATCTGACGCTCCCATTAGATGTACTTACGCCACATTTAAAACATGAAAACAACTACAGGAAGACTCGGCTAGATGACTCATATTTCAACCACGATGTAAATCTACTGAATTGTCTTTCAAGTTTGATACCACATCAGTTAAGCATTCTAGAAAAAAAAATTTTTTTCTTGAACAAAGTATTTGTTCTGAAGTCATCTGGAATGTATTTTATGAGTGCTGATCTTGATCTCTGCTGACCAGACGGTGCTCAGACTTGTTGTCACAGATTCTGGGCTATAACCTGGTCTGACTCAACAGATTTCGTCTGCCTCTCGGATGTTAGTTTGAACTGAACGGCAGCCAGTCAAGAAATACGAAGGAACATGTGCATGGAGGTCATGAAAGAAGGTTCCTGCTTCAGCTTTTGTAACTTAATCACTAACAAACACTTTAAGCTCCTGTTGACACTTTCATTCAAAGTGAGTATTTTCAACTTACAACCAAGATTACTCTACCCAGCAAACCAATCATTTAAAATCAAAGGACAGATAAAGGGCTTCCTAGACAAGAAAACGCTAAAGGAGTTCAACACCACCAAACCAGGATTTCAAGAAATGTTAAAAGCACTTCTTTAAGGAGAAGGGAAAAAAGATTAAAAAATATGAATAATAAAATGGCAATAACTACATATATATCAACAATTACTTTAAATGTAAATGCATTAAATGGTTTAGTCAGAAGATGTCAGGTGGCTGAATGGCTAAGAAAAGAAGACCCATGCGTATAGTATGATGTCTACAAGAGACCCACTTGAGGTCAGAAGACACACACATACTGAAAGTAAACAGATGGAAAAAGATATTTCATGGAAATGGAAACGGGGATAAAAGCTAGGGTAGCAATACTTACACCAGACAAAAAGACTTTAAAACAAATGCTACAAGAAGAGACAAAGAAAAACCCAGCAATTCCACTTCTGGGTATTTATCCAAAGAAACCCAAAAGACTAATCTGAAGGACATATGCATGTACCCTATGTTCACTGCGGCATTACTTATAATAGCCACGATGTGACAGCAATCTAAGTGTCCATCAGTAGGTAAATGGATAAAGAATGATGCATATATACAATGCAATATGCCTCGGCCATAGCAGAGAATGAAATCTAACGCTGGCTGGTGTGGCTCAGTGGATTGAGCACCAGCCTGCGAACTGAAAGGTCACCAGTTCATTTCCCACGTAGGGCACATGCCCGGATTGTGGGCCAGGTCC